TTTTAATAGAAAAGTAACTTTATAATAAATACGAGAAATAAATAGCAATATGATATGTTAAAAAGTGGCTCTTGTAATAGATGCTTTAGTGATGTTGCTTCATCGTTCGCCTCTTAAGCGGGAGGTCGTGAGTTCGAATCTCACCAGCAGTACTCTAATCTGCTGTAGCTCAGTCGGTAAGAGCGCCTAAGACTTAAATGCACATTGCGCGCTCATCTACTTATTTTCATTTTTATTCGAATTCATATACGAGAACGGTGAGATCACAATTTTTGAGGGAATGAAATCTTCTGATTTAGATACAACACTGTAAACTAGAAAATAGGTTATAGAGTTTAATGAAGAAAATTCTAGGAATGCCCATATGAATTCACCGATAAATTTTTAATTCTTTGAAAATAAGATATTCGAAACATTAAGAATAAGAAAATTGATTTTCTAATTAGAAAATCAATTATGAATTCATATGGGCATTCCTAGAATTTCGGATTCTATTTAATAATTCGAGTGTTTTTTAAAAACTGGAAAATCGAATGTATTTTCATATTATAATGACGTATCTTTTTTTTCTTTATAAAATAAATAATTTTAACTTTCATTTAAATAAATTCATAGACATAATGAATTTACTATACGCATCAAAATAAAATAAACATATAAATGAATAATTTTAATTTCAATAAATTCATAAGCACTCGATTGATATAAATGTATCGAACAAAATAAATAAATAAATAATTTTATTTTAAATGCATTCAAAATGCATTGACTCACACAGCAGCTGAAAAATATCATGTATTAACTTTCACTACAGCTGCCGAAGGAAATAATGAATGTACAACACTATACCGGCCTGACTTATATACATGAATGCACAATGAGTCAATAGGGGTCATTGTTCAAATGATTTTCAAGAAAGTAGCTTTCATTTTTAACTTTTTCTAGAATTCATATTGATTTTTTAATTTCTTTGAAAATCATTTTTTTAGAAAATCAAATGGAATTTCTATCATTGAGAAAATCAAGCATTTTCGAAATGCTGAAAATTCGTCGAATGAATCATAAAATCTTTAAAATATTTCAACTTATTTAAGATCGATTTTCAAAAAAGTAGAATTTTAAAAAAAAATTACAGTGAACATATGGGCTAAATCGGACAGAATAGGACATACCCGCTTCCATTTTACGGTTGCTCTCGCCGTGGGTTATTTTTTTTTTCAACGAATTCTTTTGGCATAGATCTATGTAAAAATCCTGACTCTTTAATCTGACTATTAATAAAACTTAATTAACTAATTAAAAAGTAATTAGTGAATATCTCTCTAACCGTATGATTATAATCGATTAAAAATCAGATTTTTTGTGATTACTGAGGTCATTTTTTTTACATGGGTTAGAGATCCTGTCAACTGTGAAATAAAATTTTTTGTCTTAGCACCATCTAGCGATTCTGGGCACAAAGTTTTTCCGTTTGAAATCGATTCCAAATTTTTCATTCGGTTACAGGAGAATTTTTGTGTGTTGTGTATTCGTACTTTGTCACATCGCTAACGAATTCGTCACGTCACTAACGCCAAATGAACTCAACTTATTTAAAAATCTAAACATATTCAGGAAAAACATTGGATAAATATTTTGCAGCTTCAAGAATCGTCTGCAACACGTACTATTTAGTTTTCGGAAATATTTTTTAGACCAAGATAAAAAATATTTAAATGCTTACTGCTTAAACCATAAATCAATTTTGTATCAAAAATAGCTTTATGCGATAGGTAAATAGACTATTTAGATGGTATAGAAATATTAATTATACTTTTTTTCGTGACTATAAAATTCGGTTCTAAAATGCAAATTTTATAGAAAAAATTGTAAAAGAAAACTATTGTCTATGTTTTCTTTTTCCTATAATATTTTAATTTTTTTAAAACATTCATATCAAGTAAAATCAAACGTGTACGTTTAAAAAAGGTTTCCTTTTTTTGTCGTCTTCACTTCAAAATATACTAATCAATATTTTCGTAGTTATAATTAAAAAATTATTCATTTTCATCTTTAAAATGAGAAAAACTTCTTCGTGTATTTTTTTCATTTATTTCAGAAATATAGCTTTTTTCTTTCACTCATTCTTTTATTATTTATTATAAAGAAAAATGAAAACAAACTAATATCGTTGTTTTCAAAAGAGTCGTCCTTTACATAATGAATTCATGTGTTGGTTTACTATATAGGTTGAAATGCAACAATATAAACATTCCTACATGTAGAGCAGAGACCGTCATCAGGACAGAGCACCAGGGCAGCCCTGACGCCCTGTCCTGCCCTGTCCTACAGGGCAAACGTTTTTTTCTTGCCCTGCCATGTCCGCTCTCAGGGCAACTGGAGCAGGGTAAAGGGCAGGGCAGAGCAAAATGTTTTGCCCTGATAATGTTTTTGATAAAAATCTATTTGAAAACGTTTTCTGAAGCAAAGGGTGGGGTGTGTGGGTGGGTGTGGGTAAAATGAATACTAATATCCACACTCACACCCCACCCTTAAAACTCTATCGGTATCAAGTAAATGGTTTAATACGTTAGTAGCTATTGAAAGAATGGTTAGTGTCATTCAAAATACAAATTTCAATAAAAAAAAAAAAAAAGTACACAATTAGCTAAATGAATAATTATTTTTATGTTGATTGTTATACTGTTAACACATATTCATGATCCAATTAATCATCAACTTATTAATGGCGATGAAAATCGACTTTGGTATTTGATTCAATATTCACCCAATGTCAATATTTATAATTTATTTCTCATTCTCTTTCATTTTATCGTTCCACTATCAATTAATTTAATTTCTACTATTGTTATCATCATAAAACTAGCTCGAAATTATGAACGACGCTGAAATGATCCCTGCAAAAAAAATAGGCGAATTGATCTCGACGTGCTCAATTAGTCCAAAAAATGATGAAATTAAGCTCGTTTTTTTCCGAGTACAAATTATGAGGAAATGGAAATATAGTGTCCTAGTTTATGTGTTTACTAATAAACAGAGTACACAATGACAACGAAATGCAATAATTTTATATTTCTTAATACCTAATACAAAATATATAAGAAAAGGTGTATGCAAAATCAATCCTTCGAAAACGAGTATTTCATGATTTTCAGACGAAAAGATTTGATAATAATGATCATCAAAAATTTTTGCGTTCAATTGATGTTGACATTTTTTGTACTTTCTGTATTGTGAACATCGAAATGTAATCGATTTGTAATTTTTGAAATTTTCTTTGTGATATACGCAAATATTGTGAAATTTTGCCAAATATATCAAATCGTTTTCAGTAAGAATATTTTCATCAATCATCTTCCATGTTCTTCCCATCATTCCACGATTTTATTGATTTTTTTTATATTCCAAACAACATTTAGGTATGTACTGGATTACAAAAAATTAAAAAAGGCTTTGGAAATTATGCTTCACTACCATTCGCTCGTCAACATACATCATGTCATCAGTTGAATCATTTAACTCTTCTGTTCATTCTTTCTATTCATCATATACACTAGTCTTCCTCCAATCACGTTGATGAGTTTTTTTTCCGAGATCATTTTTTCCGAGACAAATTCCATTTTTTTCCCGAAATTATTCTAATTTACAGCCGATACTATCATTCTGCGGACATTTACAAAAAGAAATACGTCAACATAAAAATCTTTTGTCTACACCTTGTACTTTGGTATTATTAGCTTTGCCTCATTTAATCATTTCATTCGTGAAAGGATGTATGAGATCACAACCTGAATCTTGGTTATATATTCATAATCTTTATTTTACCATCGAAAAACTACATCTAAAACGTATTCATGTGCTTTGAACTAAATAAACTTTCTCGAATTTGAATTGATCTTTCATAGAAATGTGGGTGTGTCGAGTGTGAATATGTGATTGTGAGCGTCGGAAATCTTTCTATTTGCTGAAAGACGTTTGGTCACTTTGGAGATACATAACTGTAAGAATTCAATGCTTGAAACATACGTGATAAAAGCGCGAACGTGGTCACAACGATCATGTTCTACTCTTTGTATTTATTTCAATACAAAATGTATCTTGCTTTTCATTCTCTTTCATCATTCCTCACTATGATATTGCTTTCACTGGTTCCGCTTATTCAGGAGCCTACTTATGTATACTTCCATTGTATAAATTATATGTGAGACATGAAAGAATGAATATTTGAATGACTTCTATATCTACATCATCTACTTGTTGTAACACAGTCTACTCCTTTGATTATCGTCTTTGAAAAAGATAAACATGTTACACATGATCAGAGGAACACTTTTTGAGATTTACAGTAAGTCCAGGCTTTTAAGGCGTCGGTATGGGTGTCGATATCGATGTAGCAGAAGACAAAACCTACACACATCCACACTCCTCGAAAAACAATTTTTCTGGTGTTGCTAAGGAGAATACAGCATTTATTGAAAAAGTACAGAATCCTCGTAGCAATAATAAGTTATGGGCACGGTTTCCTTTCGGAGTATTCATAATTCATTTACATCTAAATAATGTACATGGTCTCGACTCAACAGCGATTGAACAGAGCTGATGAACTTCTCTTGTTAGATGTACCGCATTGATATGATACAATTCAATAAATTCGAAATGAAAACAAAAAATATCCGTAATGCCAACTTATCTTTACAGAAGACGAGATCATCTATTGACTTTATTGACATGTAACACGGTTCTGTTCGAAATTAACATTCATAATATTTAATAACATTAGTAAATTTTACAAAAGAAATTCTTATTTTATTTTCGACTCAAAAGATAATTCAAAAAGAATTAGAAGTTTGTTGAATATTTAGATTCACTCTAAAATTACATGTACAAAAATAAACACAAAATTTTTATCATACAACTCCATAATAAAATATTAGCATAGATGTACATCGAATTATTTCTCATCATTTATCTTTAAAAGTTTCCTGATCATTAGATTATTTCTAATCAAAATGAATTCTACCATATTGATATGTTGATTGATTTTTATATAAAGCATCCATCCATTCTTTGATAACCAATGGTGAATCAATCATAGCATTAATTTCCTAAAGCAAAAATAATTATTTTAAATTAAAGAAATTAAATAATCAAAAATTAATTTACTTGAGAATGAAACCAAGATTGACTATCCATATTACCATTACCCATAATAGCAACTTGATCATCAATAGACATAAATTTAATATGACAATTTCGTCTTTTGTAAGAAAAATGAAGAGGATGTGTTTGATCTATATTAATTTCATAAGATAAAAAATTATATTAAATATACTTGTTTTTTTTTTCTAAAACATACCTTTTCCAGTATACCAATATACTTCAAGATATTTTTCTGCACCATCGTTTCCATCTCTTAATTTTTTATAAAGTTTTTTTACAACATGTTCATTTGTTCCACCTTGAAATGTTCCAAATCCTTCAGTTAAATCATTAAAACCTAAACCAAGCCATAATCTTACAATTATACCACGTCTACATGCAGATATTATTCCATTAATAGCTGGTGTGGCATTTAATGTAGGTGATTGAATAAATATTGTTTTTTTTGCATAACGAAATGCCCCCATCCATGCAGCATCTTGTGGATTAGCTGTATCAATATGTCCAGGTTTACCATATGGTAAACGATTGACTAAAGCTATTGGAAATGGTTTATGTTTTTGATGAAAAATAAATGGAGAAAAATCATCAGCTAGTTTTTCTAATTCAATATCAGATAAATTTTCATCGGGTTTTGTTGCACCAGCAGATTTTGCTGATCTATTTAAATGATGAGTTAGTGGTGTTTCTGGACGAGGATTCATATTATATCCAATAATAGCACTAGTTAAATCATTTGTTGTTTTAACAAGAACAACAGGTGAATGAGATCTTCGATGAATAACAAGTGCTTTTAAAGCAACTGTTGAAAGTTTATTATGATTTGCTTTTTTATCTTCAGATGATAATATAAAATTTTCATCTTCTTCAGATGCTAAAGGTACATGAAGATAAATATCGGATTCTTGTCTTTCTAAATGGCATTGAAGTCGTAAACGTGCTCTTGCAATAGCCTGTTGTAATGGTTGTTTAATAGATGAAATTTTTGAATTATTAATTCCAAATTGAATATCATCATCAATAGATACTTCATCTTTTAAACAAACAAGATTTGGTTTAAATGGTAACCACCATGATATAACAAATGTATCATATAATGAATTTACAATATCACCTTCAAAATGTGACATCATTTCAAGATTAGGTCGATCTTGTATATTATTACTATTTAATAAAGCAATACGACGATCAACAATCATAAATTTAGAATGAAATGTTCCCATTATTAATCGATGATAATTATTTACTTCAAGTGATATATTTGGAATTTCTTCAGGTAATGGAATATCATAATTTGACCATTTATTTGATGGAACAATACTATGAAAATGTGTGATATTTTCTTTTGTTGGATGATCTATCATTAATTTAACAATAACATAACGATTTTCATTTTCAGCACGTTTACTTAAATTTCTTAATGCTTTACCTATAATATTTACACTTTCACCTTTTTCCCAATAATTTGTTGCTAATAAAACTTCTTTTTGTGCATGAATAATACAATGATAATAATGTTGCATTATATCAGGTATTGTTGAAATTATTGTTAATGGTATAACACCAGTTGTACCTATTAAAGATGGTGAAACACGACCAGCTAATGGATCACGTCTTAATGTACAAAGAACATTATGAAATAACTTAAGAAATAAATCACTTGGACGTTCAATAAATCGTCCATATTTAGCGGCAGTATCTAATTCTTCTTGTGTTATTTCATGTTGAAGAATTTCATAATTTATTCGTGGTCGTAAATGATGTAATGGTTGAGAAAAGAGTTTTTCAGCTGCTTCTTGTGGACTTTGAACAACTGGTGGTTCACATGCTAATAACGACGTCACTGTTTCTCGAGAGATATTATCAATTGATGGAAAATCGTGATCATGTTTAAGTAGTTCGATTGACGTTATACTAAGTTTTGGAGAAGACATTATTTATAATTTTTATTTGCGACTTTTGACTATATATGCTATATGTTTTTGTTTTGTTTTTTTGTTTCCTGCTTCAAGAATATAAGAAAAAAATAAAAATTATACGTCGTAGAAAAAGAGAAAAAACACCGAACGCAAAGGTGAATCAATATGATTATTCATCTCGTGAGAAATTGATGGTAATAAGAATAATAAATCTAAAAAATTCATACAAAAGAAAAAGTCATTATTATTATCTTAAAGCAAGACACGTATATTTATTTGATTGTAAGTTAGCAAAGCAATATAAAAGAATATTGGGTGACTACTAAAAATAAGTCATGTATTGCGTATGTTAATCAAAGAAAAAGTAAAAACGTAAAAAAAAATATTGAACAAATTTCTCGGTAAATTTTTATAAAATGAATGAGTGCCTCTAGTCAACCTATAAATAATTCAGATATAAATTTCATTTATTATACATTAATTATTAGATTTCATCATTTGAAAAAATTCAAATCGACTAAATCTGTTATTTTATATAAATATTACGTTCTGTAGATAACTTTCGAGGCTGAGCATGCCTAGATTCTTCTTAAAAATCGATTTACTTTTCGTTGGCAACATGGTGGACTACGAAAAAACGTTCTTACAACCGAATTAAAACTTTGAAACGAATTTCAAACGGTGCAATTCTTTCTTAAGAATCGTTAAATAATGATAGAACATAAATCTTTGATTTTGGACTTGACACGATCTGTAGAGATCTAAAAGTAGAGTTCGTCGGGTTGGTTCCTAGACTCGACTGCGTCCAGATCTATAAATTTTGGACCCGATGAATTCTAGTCGTTTAAGAAATGTGCACGATGCTCTAGTTACAAAATACAAAAAACTTTCAAAAAAAGTATCTTTTATCTTCAAAACGGTTATTCAATCCTAATTAGAAAATTTCATTAAAAGTATCAAAGTACGGTTCGACTGGGTCCAAATTTGGAAATTTTTCGACCTAAACAACTCTAGTTTAAAATTTCATACATATGTCTGTGCTAAAAGACTTATTCATAAAAAAAACTTTTGTAAAGAATCAAAGTCTAATGAAAGGTTGATATGTAGTACTGTGTCTGAAATGAATCATACGTATGAAGTGTAATGTTACTGTAGTGTTTATCTTAGCATACATCTCGCAAGCTTCCAATGAATCTTATAAACATGAATGGGAAAAAAACAGAATCATTACTCTTTTTCTCTTTCGTTCTTATTTACATACCTACGTAGTTAAGTAATGATTGAATCATTTTTCTAAGCAGTTAGTCACAAGTGCAATGTGATGATCATATTTGACAGTACTATTCAAGAAAGCAATTGAATAATTACATACGCGTGATTATGTCTTCTAGTGTATTATAATTTCTAGGTCGAGCATGAATTTTTAACCTAGTATTAAATATGAATTGCATGTGCAAATATAATCGTTAGAGAACAAGAATTTCTACTACAAAAAATAAAGAATTGAAACAAAGATGCACGAGTATTAATGCTCAGTTGCATTCGTAATGGCACTTAAGAATTATGAAAGAATAATGTTCCTTTAATATAATTTCTTTACCTTACTTTTTTTTAATAATAATTTTGCAATTTTAATAAAGAAAGTACATCAAATAACTCCGAACTTTAGACTTCATCTTTTGACTATATGTAAGTCATTGTGAGACTAAGAAAAACTCGAAAAGCTTTCTAGAAAAATTGCTACTTTATATGATGAAAAAGTGATGTTATTTTCTTTCAAATTATCATTCATGTATGATTCTACTCACTTGAGACTAAACATATATCAAACAAATAATTTTATCAGAGTCCTTGAACTATTCCATCTTTGAGTTTTTTTTTTTTAACTAGACTACATTATAAAATTTCAGAGCTGTACTAGCAAAGAAACTTAATCTCTAGCAGTTTCTTTAATAGATGAAAAAACTAAAATGATAACATATTCAAGACAATCATAAAGAAGAGGCATCGTATTGATCTGTTTGGTTCATGCATAACTGCCGAAGACGTAAAACTCTCTAACACAATGTACATAAAAATTAAGCGAAAAACTCAACATCATATCTCATCAATGAACATAAAATATCTTACTATGCATATTTTTAATTTTATATTTATTAATACAAATTCGTTAATATATCACAACAATAAAAAAAAAATATATACCATGCAGAAATATATATCTATCGATAGATTTACATGTTTTGAATCGCTTGACCAAAATTGATTACGTTATTTAGTTGTAATTCTTATTATCTTAGCATCCAATAATATTTTATTTCATGTTCGAACAAATCATCGACATATGCTGATATACGCGTAAATCTCGATAAGACTAAGAAACGATTAAAAGCATTTGGGTTCAAAGTCTATTGATGAAAAATTATGTCGGTTTTATTGAGAGTAAGACATTTCGAAAAATCCAAAGAAAAAAAAGTTTTGATCTGAAAGTTTCAACGAAAACGAATATGTTTTTCTCGAGATATTCAATTTTCGAGTATAGTCGATTAGTGCGTCATTCTATGCTACACCGCTGCTTTTTGTGAAACACACTCTGCAAAGAAAGTCTCGAAGTATAAGGGTCAAAAATGTGCATCCCCTAAATCGTGACACATACTTTCACAACATTTTTTTTTAATATAGACTTGCATCGGAATCATTTTTAGGAGTGATTCGAGTTCTCTCAATTGTCTACTAGTGAATTAGATTGAACACTACAGATTATTTGAATGTTGAGTTTTACTTTCTAATATTCATCATAAAAATTGATGCATTTTGGAAGCTCGATTCAAAGTTAACTTCAACTTCTTCTCATAGACATGGATCATCCTGAAGAGACACCAATCGAATTCCGAAAAACATAACTCTTGTATTAAATCTGATTTATTATGTAGAAAAAAAAATGAACTACTACCTTATAATATTTCTCAAATATTAAATTAAAGGATAATAAAGAAATGTATTCCAAAATAAATAGAATAATTTTTCAAAATTGAATATCTCGAAAAAGATTTGTTCGTTTTCTTTGAAACTTTTCGAATTATTTTATGACTATTAAATCTGTCTATAGATAAAAATTTTACTAAAGCAATCATAACTCTTCGTCAGTAGAGCATAGACTTGAATTCTTTTAATATTTTCTTAGTCTTATTAAAATCTATTCGTACCCATAATAGGATATCGAACTGTGTCCGATAGAGAGTAGCGGGTCCGTCCACACCCGCACCCGGACCCGGGTCTGAATCCAGAAAATTAATGCCACCCGGGTCCGGGTCCATATGTGATTTATTTTCAGACCCGGTTTGCATTCAACTGCGAATATAAGTACTGGAGAGTTCAGATCAACGTATAATATTTTCTGTATTCTGTTTCAAAATTTTTTGGCTATTTTTAATTTTGTAATTAAAAAGTCATTTTAAATACAAATAACAAATGAAGTTGAAAAAGACAAGAAAAATGAAAAAAAAGTAGACAAATATTAATAAGTTACTGTTGGTTTGAGAATTTTCAATGATCAGTTTTGATTATCAATTAATTCTTTAATTTCCTTTTCGATTAGCATAATGTTTTTTTCAGTTAAGCAATAAAATCTTAGTTATTAAGCATCACGTTGCATTATGAACAAGTGAACAACAGGAAATACCTGTACATAAACTTTTCCTCTGAGAATAGCCAATAATTAGCTAAAACCATGAGTCTTCACTTGTTCATATATACACACGGTGCCAGATATTGGCGAAACACTTAACGGGTCTGGGCCTGGTCGGAACCGGGTCCGTATATGTCAAGCCCGGGTCTAGAAAATTAATGCCACTCGGGTCCGGGTCCGGGTCTGGGAATTTGATATCACCCGGGTCTGGGTCCATAAAAACATGGACCTGCTACTCTCTAGTGTCCGACAGTTGGATAATGTTTCCTCGTATGTTATATAAAACAAAATTTTGCAAAGATAAAAATAAATAAATTTCCAATTTGTCGAATTGATTGATTACATGCTTTAATAATATTAAGTCTGAAAATATAAAAAATTTGAAATACGAAGAATAAGTGTATGATCAAGTTTTATTGTTCATCAAAAAATTAATCTGAAAAGAAAAGCAAATTCATTTTTCTATGAATAGTTTTTTTATTTATCACAAATTCATAACAGAATAATTTACTTTTTCAACGTCGTATTACGACTATAAATTTAGTCGATTTTATGATTCTCAATACGAAAAGTATAACAAAAAATGTTTGAATTTATCTGAATGACGATGAAGTTTTCTTATGTAAAAAGAAAAGAAAATAATATATCTCTATATACAAATAATTAATTTATTTCTTTTTAATTGGTTTGATCAGTAGAAGATGTCTGATCAAATTGTATTGGTTGAAGTTTTCGATTAAGTATAACATCAATAGGATTTCTTATACCAAGCATAAGACATAATAATTCTGTTTGTGGATTATTTTTTCTTAATTGTTCTATATCAATTGGAATATTTCCACTACCTGGTACATGAATAGGACCAGTTGGTTCAAACATTTCAGGTATTTCAAATGTATTTGAAAAATCATCTTTTACTTTTCGATAATCATCATCATTTGGAGTGAAAGAAGTTTGGGATATTGATGGTAAAAATGTATTTGTACGTTGAACATGTAATAGATGATCAGTTTTTGTTAATATACATAACCATTCAGGATCAAGTAATAAACGATTCATTGAGGATGGTGATGGATTCATTGGTTCAATATCAAGAACCTTATATAGAAATAATGAAATTAATCGTTTAAAAAATTTTCAACATATTGACGAGAAAGAAAAGTGAATAGTGGTTGACTTTTACAGTTTTTTAAATTTTCCTAAGACAGTGATAGAACTGTCTTTCGTTTTCAAGAAATTTTTTTCCACTTTTTCAAGCAAAAAAAAATACACTGTCAAAATAAGCCTGTAAAGAGTATTTTGCTTATAGTCATCTTCTTCTCCTTAAAAAGTCCTACATCCGCTATTGACTTAGAAGTATTGGTAACACAATTTCTTTTTATTACATATCAAATAGAATTTTTACTCTAGAGTATCGAACAGAATAAACTAAAATGTCTGTTAAACCTGGATCGCTTTTCAACAAACAATACAATTACCGACGTCCTAAAAGAGCTATTCAACAAAGTTCTTGTGTACTCTGCAACAAGTAGGATGTGATTCAGTAGCGATTTATGTACAAAAAGACTTTAAACAAGTTTTCTTAATCTACCTAGTGTTGTGATATTGCCGGACCACCTCTAATGTTTTGTAAGACACTGTTCGAAGATATGTATTACTATATTATCACAGAAGGCGTTCGAATTTTATTGTTCTTCGTAACCCGTACAAAAAACCATTTATTCAGTCTTTCAAAAAAAACCGTAGGTTGAGTTTAGTCTTTTCAAGGCTAAGAGCTTCACCACCGATGGCAGCTGGCAATACAATCAATAGGTACGTTATGCACTTTAGTAACTGTTCTGTATAGAAGAGTTTAAGTAAAACAAAGAAATAGGCAGTATCGTAAAGTTGCCACACATTCATTAAATTTATTTTTTCAAGTTTCAAAGGTAATTTTTTAATAATATAGATATACAAGTTGCTAGATAGAAACAAGACGAAGAAGAACGATGTCAATTTTTTTGTAAAAACAATATAATTTTGTTTTACATAATTTTCTCTAAAAAATTCAATATCTACTTTTAGTCTACATTTCCAGAGAAAATATGATCTAGAACAGTTATTCACACGAACAATTGCTCGCCGTGTAGACTTTTATAAGAATTTTTCGATAAAATAACGATATTTAGAGATACAATAAATTAATATCTCGAAATGATTTTAACATAAAGAATTACAGTTTTCGCTAAAATGTAGTCCTATTTTCTTCGTTTATCATCTTCCTATGTCATATATTTATTTTGCCACACTAGAAATATTAAAACTGACATGCTTTAATTTCAACTCACAATTCATCACACACCACATATTACGATTAAAAAGCATGTTAAACTTCATTAAAACCTTTTTTCAAATGTTTCTTTCTATTAAAAAAAGAATGAAATACGAAGTACAATATTCAGTCATTGCATGATCAATTTTGAGCACCGCTGTATTCAAGCCACGCGCAGACCAATAGAATAATCTTATCGAAAACTTCTAAAAACCATACCTTTTCTTAATACATCATTGATAACAAAAGTGAGGCAAAAATTCTTCGAAGATATGAATTCATTACAACAATTAGAATAAGATCAAACAAATCCGCACAATATTCTAACTAAAAATGTGCACAAATCACATTAGTATCTACATTCGCTGCGATATTGCGATCTCAACTCTATCAAAATGTACTTTTTTCATAGCGATACATTCCAATGTTTCAGCGAAAACTGATGTCAGTGTGCACTGGATATTTCAGTCAGATATAAGTTCAAATTCAGCGTCTATCAGATACTTTACTATATTGTTTTGTTTAATCCTTCATAATATCATCAATAATGTTTATTATTTTTCTTTCTCTTTTATACGATTTTACACATTCCGAGTGAAAAGAGATCTTAGGAAAATGGTGAAAACAAGAATGCGATGGGTCGATTCTATCTCGAACTAGAAAAATCTGATTACATGATTTAATGTTTTAAATAGTTTTTCAATATCTTAAACAACAAAACATTTCATACGAAACTTAAACATAATAATAAAAATATTCTAGATAAATAATTTTCGTTCTAACAACGATCTAAACTTCTATGAATTTATGTCTCTCTTTTTTTTTGTTTTTAAACTTACTTGTAAAAAATCTCTTCCTGGTAAACATTTATCTAAAGCAAGAAAACGTGTTAATTGTCCATTTGTATGTTCAACTAATGCAGAAAATTTAACATGTAAATGTGCTGAAAACCAATATTTTGGTTGTATTCGAAGTAAAACTTCTTCTAATGGTTCACTACCAAGTTTATTTGTATATATATCATCATGAAAATATTGTTTACGTTGTAATAAACGTTGTGTATCACCATACCAAACAATACCACGTGGCCAATCATGTGATATCATAATATCAATTTTACCTTGTTGTAATTGTTTTATTCTAAATACATCTAAACTTCTGATATGATATATTGAACGAATTGTTTTTTCATCAAATGGTGGTAATTCATAATGACCAGAATTATAATCTTGTGATTTATATATTCCAGATAAACCAGCTATACGTAAACCATTAAAATTAACTACATTTGCATAACCCATATAATATATATTTGGTGCTACCCAACCACCATATGGTAATTCAATAAGAAAATCACTTGATTCATGATTACCACCAATGAATATTGTAAGTAAAGGTGCAAGTTTTTCTCTAGAATAATAACGCCAAAAATCTTGCATTGAACGATATTTTGGTGGAACAGCCATTGATTGTAAATCATGTTCATTTCGAACGGCTTGAAAATCACCACATATAAGTAAAAGATCAATTTTTATTTTTTGTTCAATTTCAATTTGATTTATAGTTTCATATATTCGATCTAATTCACCATGACAACAACCTTCAATAGCTATTTTCATTTTTATTATTATCTAGAAACAAAACAAAAATTAATCGTTTATTAACCATTAAATACAAAACAAGAAAAAAACATTAAAATTTAACAAGTTTTAAACGTTTTAATGATTTTTTTGTTTTATTAGGTTTTTCTATGATTGATTCAACATTATCATCAATATTATTTGTAGTCGAAGTAAGACAAGGTAATTGTTGATCATCAATTCCTAGAACAAAAAAATAAATAAATAAACTACTTATTTTGAAATACAGTGACTAATGTCAAACTATATAATACTAATGAGAAAACCTTGCGCAGTGACATGTTACTTTTAAAATGTAACTTTGTTGATTGCCTAAACTCTGTTACGGTTGAAAAACCTTACAATAATTCGTGACCATGAGCCTTCTTTCTCAAGTTCAAAATATCATCTGTCGATTTTGCCTTTAGTGCTCTGCGATAGGAGTAAAAACATAGAAAAAAATAAGTTGAGCTCGAGAAGAAAGATCCATAGGCACGAGTCATTGTAGAATTTTTCTAGTTTCAATAAGAATTTAGTAATGAGAGAAGTCGTATTTTAAAAATAATTTATCATTTTATGAGATTCTCTTGTAAGTATCGAATGAGTTGAAATAATTAAAATATCGGATACACCCACCTTTAGCAGTTCTTTTCCGATGAAAACTCTAAAAAGATTTGAGTTTTATTAAGCTATCGAATTTTTTTATTAGAAGTTCCATTTTTTCGGAAGACTCACATTTTCCGAATTTAGATCTGAAGCTTTGTGCATATAGAGAACTCAACTAATATTAACTTCGATTAAAAAAATTCAGAAATTTTGAACAAAGTCTCTTCGAAATATGAGACTTTCAAGATATAGACAATTTTCCATGGATAGTGTGTGAATACAACATGTATTTTTTTGCAAAGTTTTATATTTCAAAGAACCATTATTTAAAACTTCTGCATGTTTCTTTTTTATTGAAACTAGTCTAATTGAGTTCTTGATATGTACAAAGTTTCAATATAAAAATTCGATAGCTTAATAAAACCCAAATCCTTTTCAAGTGATCATTCGAACACTATCTAGTATCCATAGGTAAACAATATAAAAACAACGAGTACCGAACCATGTTTTCAGATGTAATACAGATAAGCTCTGAAGTCGTTTTAGACAGGGACCCATAAAAATTGAGATCGAAACCGGAAAATTCGAAATCAAGACAAGTGAAAAAACAATTATCGGGATTGGAACCCAAAAAAAAAGGATTTGATCGCGCACATCTCTTTTTCTGACTATTGATTTTTGTAAGTTTTAAACATAGCTTCAAAATATTTTATCATGTTTTCGATCTATCCAATTATGAATGAAAATAATTTCTTGACATTATTTTATATTCTCATGCAAAGAGTTTTATTTTGTTCAAAAATTTTACCTTGTTTTTTTAATAATGTTGGACAATCTCGTTTAAAATGTTGAATCGAACCACATTCATTACAACATCCACCATTTGGATATAAACCATTTGGATTATCAGGACATAAACGTGACCAATGACCTTGTTTACCACAAATAAAACAAGTTGCATAAGCAAATGAATCACCTTTAATTGTACATTGTTTTAATCGATGTTCAGTTGAACCACATTTATAACAAATACCAGTTTTTATTTCACCCTTTTTTTTTTGTTCATCAGATATTTCAACTGTACATTCATTCATTGAATGTCCTGGAGTTCGACATCGAAAACAGATCTAAATTTGTTTTTTTTTTTTTTGTTTTTTTTTTTGTAATAAAAATCTTATGTTTGATATAAACCTTTTTTAATTCACGTTTACGTTTTTTTTCTAAACGTTTTTCTTGTTTACGTTTATCTTCTTCAGTTAGAGGTTCTTTTAATTTTTCCCATGGTGTTGCATCTTCACCAATAGATTTTTTTTTCGGTTTCTTATGTTTTGCAAATCTAGTCATCTAGAATATAATAGAATGTTTTTTTTCTTTATTTTTGTCATTTTTTTTTTTTCTATGAATAAATTAAAATAAAAAGAAGAAAAATAAATAATAATAGCGATAATAATAATAATAATAATAATGATAGAAAGAGTTCTTTATTTAATCCAGATCTTTTCAATCCAATCATAGACTTTATTTAAATTTGTTCCACTGTCTGCATCAGTTTCATCACCACCACTATCAATATCTTTTTCTCCTTCTTCATCATCATCATAATGATCACCAAATGATTTTTTTTCTGTACCTAATGCTGAACCATCAACAAAATCAATTTGAATATCTTTAACATCACTAAATTCAAATGTATCTTTTCCTAATTGACCAATATCATCACTTAATTCAGTTTCTCCTTGATGTACATCAACAGATGATGCACGTGTTTTACGTTTCATTGTTAATTCATTTTCAAGTAAATTACGTATTGATTGAATTGATATATTATCATTATTTATATCTTGTTTATTACAAAATATTAATAATGGTAAACGTTGTTGACGATATGTTTTTTCATGTAAAATATCAAAAAGATAATCGGATACGTCTTTACTTTCTTCTTTTATTGTCGAACTATCAATAACAAATATAATTGCTTTAGCTGAACTTTTGTTAGCATTAAAATCACGTTGACGTATACGTAAATTACCCGGTACATCAATAACATGAATTTTTTTTGATGAACGATCTGATGATGAATTTTCAAGAATCATTGAACCTTTATTAATTGCTTGAGATGTTAATGTTCGTTTAGCTAAACCCATAGTAAGACGACAAAAAAGTAATGTTTTACCAGAATTTGGTGCTCCACATAAAAGTAAACATTCACCACGACGAAATTGTTTATGACGATTTTTTGCCCACCATAAAATAACTATTGTTGCAAATACAACAAGAAATGATATAAGAATAGTTAGAGGAAACATTTGAGAGGATTCATCGACAAATTCACTATCAACGTTTTCATCCATTGAAGCTTTTCTTTTTTTTTTTTATAAATATCAATATCTAAAACAAGGCAAATAATATTATTCCGATTTGTTTACTTCGTAAATAGCATATCTATCTACTTCTATCCTTCAAATAATATGTAGTCTAAAAGGTAATAGATAGAAATCACAGCTGTATGTTTTTCCTTTTCTATTAAACGTAATCCATAGTTTACACCTATGACGAATCATATGTAAAAATTGATTATATAAATAAATACTTAAATATTATAAAAATTATTTAAATATTTAATAAATAAATAAAAAGAATTCTTTTTCAAAATAAAATTTATCTTTTCAATAGATGTCAGACATACGGAGTTAAGCATCAAACAAAGATCCAACGATAAACTAATAAACAAGTCGAAGAAGCTATTGTTAGTTTGTTTTTATTTTCTTTTTATTTCGTCTTAATCTTTACCTATCTATATTTATATATATTGCTTATAATGTCGAGTAGTTTTATTGGTAGTAAAATTGCGATTATTACCAAATCTCAATGTCGATATGTTGGAACAATTATAGGTAAATTAAAAAGTTATTATTTCGATAGATAAAAGAAAAACAAATCTCTTTTTTTATTTTCTTTCATAAAGGCATCGATTCTCAAGCGTCATCGATACTTCTTGGAAATGTACAATGTTTTGGTACAGAAAATCGTGGAGGAAATTTTTCTAATAATCAAATTGCTGGTACAATTGTACCTATAATGCAATTTGCTAATAGTGATATTGAAGATTTAAAAATTGTTGATGAAGAACAAACAGTCGAAAGTCAACAACAAAAATCATCATCATATTCTATGCCTATTTTATCATCACCACCACCACCACCACCACCTCAAAAACAATCATCAATACATGATGATCCAGCTGTTGTATCAGCAGTTATTAGTAGTACATCGAATAAGGATTTATCAATATCGAATCGATTAGCACATGATCTTCATCGTTTAAATTTATCTGATGATCAACACTCAAAAAATTTATCAAAAACTGAAGGTAAAAAAAGAAAAAGAATTTCTTTTGTTTTGAGATGAATAGTAATGATAAAGGAAAGTATTATCTGATATTTTCGAATAGTTTATTACTTCTTGATAGAAAAACATCTTTTCAGTCTAAATAAATGTCAGAATTTTAAAAAAAATCAACATTTCTATGAAAAAAAATATTATTAAATCATTTATGTATTAACACATTTCTGCTATTCTTAAAATAATAGCCAGGACTATAGACAACAATCAATAAGATTACTTTTATTTTCTGATGAATTAAATTATGACATTATAGACTGATATGATTTTTATACGAACAGTTGGTACAAATTAAATAAAGCAATATCATGCCTATGTTTTGGTTTACAAAATTATTTTTTATTTTCTGCAATAAGTTTTTCCTCATGAAGATTAATCTAAAAAGTAACGTAGTTAGCATATATTGTACTATCGTTTATGAGTGTTCGATAGCTTTTTGATCGAGATTAGAAAAATCCTTAAAAGAGTGTATGTGTCTATGAACCTTTGAAGCTGAGTTATGACATTTTTGATGCAGCCTTAGGTATTTAACGGAAAATGAAATAACGCAATTTTGACCTGAAATATCAAATTCAATATTTCTACAAAGGAAAATTTTTTTCGATTGAAACTTTTAAGATTATCTAAGAGTCATTAGATCTATCCATTTGGTATGAATTCCTTTAAGCTTTTTCTATTGTTACCAAGACTTTTTTGTAAGCTGAATATGAACGTAAACAATGGGTATCAGTTCGGGTAATTCTTTCATCAGTGACATTAGCTCCTTGTAAAAATTTCACGGATTTAGCAGACATTGCAATATTCATATCTCAGAATAAAAGATCCAAAAATCAGTAAAAATTTAATACGAAACGCTCAAACAACTGAACTCTCTTAGACACATTTACATTGTTTATCATATTCTTAATTAGATTAAATCTAAACAACATGTTGTGACCTCTAAGCTGACAATTAGGTTGTATAGAAATTTTAAAAAAAAGAATTATCACGTAATCCTGTCAGACAAAGCTATATTTTTTTTTCAGTTATTACTTCATGATTATTCTCGCAATAATTTTTCTTTTTTGCTAAAACATGTAGAATTTGATAGTATGTTTATTATTTGAGAAAATCGCTGTTTGACCGTCGCAGTTGGATGATTAATTGTTAATATATTATAACTTATTTAATGTTAACCATTGAATTTTATGGTATTGTTTTATTATAGAATCTCGTCTTCGTACTAGTTCCGGTGAACTCGCTCCATCATGGCCTTTATTATCTTCATCGAAATGGGAAAATAATAAATCTTCCTCTCAACAACAATCAGGCAATAAAAGCAAATTTTTTGATGATTTTTCATTAAATACTACTGAACAATTACAATCAAATCGTTCTCAACAACGATGGCCATCAAATACTCATTCAACTCAAACATCACGTCATCAAGATAATCATTTTAATGAACAAGAAGATGATAATAATGGATTACCTGTTCGTCAACCATTTTTTTCAAATGATCGAAATTATTCTCAACATTATCAACAACAAAATCGTTATCAAAATGGTAATATACAACAACATCAACAAAGATATTTTTATAATAATCGTCGTACACAAATGAATAATCAACCACGACGTCCAGGTGATGGTAATAATCGTGAAACATTTAATGATAATGGAAATATTTATGATGATGAATTTGATTTTGAAACAAATAATCGTAAATTTAATAAATTAACAAGTGAAGATGAATTTAAAGAACAAACAGAATTACCAAATCAATTTTTACATTCAAAAAATGATTCCAATTCAACAAATGATTATGAACCAATATATGATAAAAAAAAATCATTTTTTGATCATATTAATCTTGATGATACATCTAATGTATCAGGACCTATGTATAATCATTTCAGAAATCAAGATACATTTGGTAATGATAGAAATCAACGTCAAAAATATCGTGGAAATTTTAGTGGTGGTTATAGACGATCAAATCCTAATAATTATCGACAACAACAACAAAGAAATGATGATTTTTATTATCGACAAAATGATAATGGATATCATTATCGAAATTGATTTATTATTATTTTTTTTTCTTGTTCTATTGCAGTGATTGTTTCTCATATATATATGATGAAAAAAAAAACAAAAAGACATTTTTTAACAATTAACTTTCTTTTTTTTTTTTTCTGTCTTTGCTTTTTTTGTATAGATCTGCTCTTTCTTTTGTAAATCTTTTAGTGAGAGTATGGTCAAAGGTCTTTTTTTTTTCTGGCAATAACAAAACCTGGTATATGTACACATGACGGATATTGTAGGGTTGATTATTCTTGTAGTTTTCTTTTTGTTTTATCGTTGTTGTTTGTTTCTTCGTTCATTTTTTTTTTGCATACCGTTCTTATTTTTTCTTTGTTTTTCTCGTCCTTTAGACTTAGCGCTATCTTTAGCGCCAGTGCATAGATTTTTGTTTTCTTTTTCAACTTGAACACAGAAAATCCTATTTATTGTTGTTGTATTTTAGTCATGCATATTATTGTGTGTGCGTGTTTGTTCATATCAGAGAGAAATCATGTACGATGTGGCTTACTCAGGTGAATGATGAAGTTGAGAAGCACATAAAAAGAAACAAACAAATAAATAACTAACAGAAATATCATCTGACAGAAGAAAATGAATTAGTTTATGTTTTTGATAGGTGCTGCAACGGCGCTGCATTTATCGATTTATTTATTTTTTTCTTTTTTCAATAGCAAAATATATCCAGATTTACATAGAACGAAATAATTAATAACAGAAACACTAAGAACGTGTTGTACATAGTTAGAGATAAGAACGTTATGATGAGGCATATTTTATATAAGAAAAAGAAATTGCATTACTTGACCAATGTGCCTTTTACACAATAAAGTACACCTTTACGTGACGAACGAGTTATACAATGATCCTAAAACAAAAAATTAATATTTATTATTTTTTTTATTTAATTTAAATGGTAAGATTTTGATTGAACTTGTTAAATAATAGACAACAAGTTATAGTTTTTCGTCGATAACCGAACTTATCAGATTAAGTATCAGCGCAGTTAATGGTGAAACGAATTTTATACAATTTATTAATAAAATTAAGTAGAATTATAAAGTAACTAGTAGTTTATTATAAAAAGAGTTTCTTTGACGATTAACTTTTTTGGAGTTATCATAGAATTCATGTAGCTTGTTACATAGATGTAACAAATAGAGTCAGTCAAGACTAGACTAATGGGTTTATACTCGAGTAGTAACAGTTCAGATTTATGAACTGTTATGTAGTGAGAAAAAGACAAGAGCGTGTACTTTGTTGTAGCTCTTTTCAAAATAAGATGACGAGGGAAATCCTTCAACTGATAAATTGTTTTTTGACTTACGACTATATGCATTAGGTATAGTCAAATGAGTTATGAATACTCTAAAAAGAGTTCATCATCTTAGCTCATTGATATGACTATGTTACACTTTTACAATATTTTTTTAAAATGAATGTTGTAGTAAAAGAAAAACTAGTTTTCAAATTTTGACTTGAAATTCAACATAGAGACAGGCGTTCACAAGAGTAGTTTCTTGTGAATGTTTCAGATCTTGTCACTATTCCTATCCTAATATACATACATAGTAATAGCATGTCTTTTCCATTGCTAATATAAACCAGTAGATTTGATCAATAAAGTACTTTCATGAAGGCTTATATCTATGTAAAATTTTTAAATCGAAATTCAAAAATCAGTTTTCTGTTACTACAGCATTCATTTTAAAAATACGTTAAAAGCGTAGTATCTCCGCAGCAATAAGTTAAGGACACTAACTCTTTTCAGAGTATTCATATTTTCATTTGGGTCTATTCTAATGCATATAGAAGTCTCTTATTTACAATTATAGTATGGTGTTTAAATAGATACGATTTGTGACTATATGCAAATTGTGTTTCTTTTTTTTTTTGGATAAAAAATTCTTTTCAAAAAATGTTATTTATCATACTTTGACAAATTTTTTCACTTCATGCACAGGAAATTGTTGTGTTTGATTTTCTTGTTTAATACGTGAGCGTAGTTCAGTAAATTGAAAACTATCACATTTTCCAAGAAGTTCAGCAACATAACGACGAAGCTAAAAAAATAATAATGATCAATTTAAAAAACAAAAAAAAAAAGCTTTTTTTTCTTCTAAAATTTTTACCATATCATATTTGTCACCCATTTGGACATTAATGAAAACTGGTTCTTGTTTGAGATTCTTAGGCCACTTTATAAAACGAGACATTTTAAAATTAATTTCAATATAAATAAAAAAAAAAAAGAAATTTAAAAAACCTTTTTGTTCACATAAATTGCTCCAATTTCAGCAGCTGCACGAAGTATACTTGCTTCTGTAACTCCTGATGCAAGTGGATGACCGGGTGGAGATGAGATTAATTCAAGTTTAATTGCTAAAAGTATGTACGAAAAAATAAAAAAAATAATCATATTATATATTTACCAATATTTATTTCACTTAATTTAAAATATGGTCGATAACCAAATCGTCGTTTCATAAATGATAATAATTCATTTTGTATTGTTCCTGGATCTTGTTTAATTATTGTTTTAGGTAATGTAACAGATGATAATGGTGTACTAGTCGTTGTTTGTATTTGTTGCTCAGAACTTATTGCGATTGCTAAATCTGTAGCTTTTCGATTTTTACTTCGACCTAAAAAGTAAAAAAAAAAAAAAAAGATGAAACATAATTGAAATTATTGTAATAAGAATTTTCTTTCGGATCTACTGACATGAAGAAGAATTTCAAAAATTTGATCCTAAACGATTAAATATCGAGTTTCTTAGTTTTTAAATTGAAAATTTTGTACTATTAGAAAATTATTTATAAAAATACATGAGAATGAAAAAGTCAATGTTAATTCAAGATGTCAAGGATTTTGAGTTATATCTACTAATATCTAGTTTAGATAATTCTAATAATTCAACTGAGCATGTGTCTACAAAAATTAGTTTTTTAAGTATTTTATTCATTCTATATTATAGTTGAGCGCTACACATAAATAAACTATTATATTGAAATTAGATTTCTACGTGAATACAATTTTCCATATTGCAATCAAACTAGGAAACCATCCCAAGTAATCAATCGCTTTTGAGTTCGGATCCTACACATACATTAGAGTCCAGTGAAATATGAAAAATCCAAAGATAAGCCTTCTTAATTCTTTCTTTCAGAGTTCTAATCATTTTCCTGAAACTCATCTAACTGATAGACCTATTTGTATTTGGGAGTGTCGGAGATACCCGTTCTCAAGGAACAAAACCCACTCGAAGATTTGTTTGCGCACATTTTTGATTATATTGAGACTTATGGACGTGTTTATTCTTTCATTCATATTGCATTAGGCTTAACCTAATGCACAGAATTCGAACTAGAGATTTGTGGAATCGGAATCAGAAGATATAGAAATTGTCGAGACGGGAATTAGAATTCAAAAAAAGTAAAATTATAGAGACTGCGAGCGCGGTCGAGACTCAAATTACTAACGCTGGAACCGAAACTCGATAAACTAAAACTATCAGGGCCTGGATTGAGATCCGGTTCACTAGCAAAAAAGCTACTGAGACCGATGGGAAAAATACTACCGGAACCAAAAAAAAACTTCTTCTCGTACATCTCTAGTTCAAACTTAAAACCAACAGATTAAATTTCGACTTCATTTGTGCGATTGTAGTTTTTTTCATTACTATACTTTTTCTCGAAAGTTTTTTTGTTGTTTTATCCAAATCTGATTTTTTCTTCTTTTTTGGTTTTGTTGGTGGTATAATTAATGGTTTTTGTTCAGCAATAATAATTGGTTCAATTTTAGGTTTTTCTTTTTCAATTGGAATCTCAAATATAATTTGTTTATCAAAAAATAATAATTGAAAATAATCTTGAATAGAAATAGTTTTTCTCCAACGAATAGGTAAAAGACTTTTTTCATTATTATCAATTATAGTCCATTTTTTTCTTAATTCAATAGATTCTAATTGATTTAATGAATAATAAGCAAAATCAATCCATCGTTCTTCATTTCGAGCACGTTCAAAATAATTATATGAACGCATTTTTTTCTCACGTTGTAAACGTCCTTCAGGTTTCCAAAATTTCATTGTTACAAGTTCATTAACTTCTTCATCTGTTGTTGTATCATCTGTTTGAGAATTTGATTGTTTAGGAAAATTTGATTCATTACCATCACCATCATCATCATCAATAGATGTTACAGATTGTTGAATACGTATTGATGATGTTGAATCAAAATCAGGTCGTAATTGAAATATTGCATTTAATGGTGAAAGTTGTATACCATTTGATGTTAAAATTCCAACAGCAAAACGTTTATAATTATCAGCAAATGTTTCATTTGTTGATGATAATGTTAAACGATCAATAGAATTAATTTTTTCATTTGATGATGATGATGTTGTTGTTGTTGTTGGTGGTGGTGTTGAGATTAAATTTTGAATTACATTCATTTCATTATTTTTACAATAAAAATCTGATTCTGTATTAAGAACATAATCAAGTTGTACAAGTTTATTTTTAGGTTTTAAACGAGCACTAATAAATGTTGAATCATTTTCATATTGAAGATGATTTGAACGAAGTGGATATTGAAATAAATATAATTGATCAGCAAATATACGTGTTAAATAAATATCAACCTAGAAAAGAATTATTATATTTGTTTTTTATCTTGAATAAAATTTAATCATAGGATCAATTCAATGTTTATTAGATTTTAATCGTCTCCTTTCGCTGCAGCATTCAAGAATAGCATTGTATAATCGATTTTTTTTTAATGTCTTTGATTGTACAAGAACATCCTTCGCAGTGATTTTATACTGGCTAAAATGTCCATAATTATTCTAAAAAATCATTTTCCTACCTCAGCTATAAGTGGATCATCATCTTCATTAATTTGTACATTTTGTTCATTATCAATATCTTCAGTTAATGTTAGACAATCGTCATCCATTGATTATATTTATCCGTCGTCTTTTTTCTGTCGACGGTTTACCTTATTAAATTTGTACAATATGTACATAAAATAAAGGAAATAGTCTCTATAAAAAAAAAAATTTTTTTTTTTTTTTTTCAATAAAAATCAAGAAAAAAAACACACATTTGTGTCTTTCTATTTTAATCTTTTTTTTCTATGAGATATAATAGACAACAAAAAGAAAACGAAATGCTCTTAACCGGAAGATGTATCATTTACAGCAAACAAACAAGAAAAAAAAAACAAACAAACAAAAATTAAGGAAAACATAATCATCAAAAGTTATAGAATATTATTATTAGTTATTGCTTTGTGATACTTGACGTAATGGTTCTTGAAGATATGATGAAAGAGCATCCATCTAAAAGAAAATAAAAATAAAGAAAAACAAAAAAAAAGAATTATCATTATTATTATAGAAATTTACTTTAGCTTTTAACATTCCTAATTGTACATTTGTTTTTGCTACCATACAAACAAGTTGTGTAGCTACTGAAGCAATAGCCATTTTTCCTTCCTAAATAAATAAATTAACAAAAAAAATTACAAGAACAATTTGTTTTACTTCTGCATCAAGTAAAATCATATTTAAATCACCCGAACCAACAGTATTTTGTGGAAGTGTTGATGTAGGTGTTTGTCGAACACGTTGATGTGCAGCAAATATACTACTAGCCATAGCAGCAATGATTTTTGCATCTTTCGCTTCAAATCCTGAATAAGCAAGTAAAGCTCCATCACGTGTCAATAAGCTTTAAAAAAAGAAAAGTTGTTTTTTTTGTTTTTTAAATTAATTATTTTTCAATTAAATAAACATACACAGTTGATTGAATTCCTCCATTAGTTACTTGAGCAAGTACTTCACTTAAAGCTTTTGGTTTTAACATTATTATCTGAAAAAATAAATAAAATAGAGATTTCAAATTTTAAGTTTTTAGATGTTTTGTTTTTGATTAATTTTAACTTCTAAAAAACAATATAAGTTATTTATAGAAGTTTCATATGTTTGATTTGTTTTGTACCTGATTAAAAATGAAGGTCAATAAACAAAAAAAAGAAAATGAAATTATTCAAATGATAAAGAGTCGTATAAAGTAACTATTCAAAGTAGAAAATAGGTTTTCATCATTGATTTAAACTTTTTTCTTCAAAAATAGTTAAACAAAAATAGAAACAATTAGTGTATTATTACACTTATAGATATATTTTAGTTTAGCTCTAATAATTACGCCTTTTTTCTTCTATTCAATTGTCTTTCATAACAAAATGCCAATTATTATTTTTTATTTTGCTCTATTTATTAAATGACATATATCAATTACTTTGTTGTAAATAAAATATGAAGTATGAAGGATATAAGAAAAAAATATTACTAATAGAAGGGATATGATAGATAGTATACAAAATCAAAAAAATATTGCCTATGACATACAATTAAATGTCCAAAAATATTTTTCTATTTCTTTCGATCTTCATTATAGGTTTCTTTTTTTTTTTGAAACATCATATGTTAAATAATTATTCGTTCATTAATTTTAGTTATATAAGACATATTCTTCAATGTAACTCGCAAGGTTTATTTTTCGTCTGTTGATAAAAAGAAATATATTCGTTCATGCATGAAGGACTTTATTCGTCGTCTCAACTTTTTCTTTTTCATCATATAGGCTTCTCGCAGTACCTAATAGTTAGTGTCAAAAAGAAAAATAGAATAAATTCAAGTTAAATATTCGACTAGCGCAAGTAAGTTATTTCTATTTTTATCTTTTCATATCAATCGATAGAAAAAGAAAAAAGATTATGAAAAAGAATAGATGAACAATATCTAATAGAATAGAAAAGCCTTGTGAATAAATATGTATCGCGAACAGTTATTTGTCCTTGTCTTTTTTTTTGTCTCTTGATGATAGCCCAGCCATCTTTTCATTTATAACTATTGCTTCGTCATGACATGTCATTGAATAATGCGCTATCTTTTTTCTTCTCTATGTAATAGTTGATCAAGATCAAAACAATATCTAGCCGAAACCTGAAGAATCATAATACATTTTTAAAAAAAAATTAAAAATACATTGCCCTTATCTTTTATTTATTAACATTTAACATAATTAGATTTTATGCTGAATGTAAAATGACATCATCGACTGCAAATCTGTCTCAATTGCAAAAAATGGATAATACACGTGTATTATCTAATTTAGTATCGTCAACAATAATAAATCCATTAACAACAAATTCAGATCCGTTATCAATTATTGCTCAATCACTTCCTGCATCTCTTGCTGCTCCAAGTGGATGGCAAAGTGAAATTATTCATTCAAAATCGCCTATATCAATTGATAATAAAATCAATCAAATTCATATAAGTAATAGTCCTTTTAGTAATTCTGCACAAGGTTATTATACAGCAAATACAAATAATACTCCTATTAATGATCTTGAACAAGACTTTTATACAACAGATAAAGCTAATATTCTTGTTAATAATTATCAAGAAACCTGTGATACAAATACTATTACTGAAATACCAATAAACATTACACCTAATAAACATGAATATACAAATTTTTCAATAATTAATAATGCAATAAATCAACCACAAACAATATTAACTGAACAACAAAAACAACATATAATACAAAATGTTGAATTACAAGAAAAACCACCAATTATTATTCGTAGAAAACTTCAAAATCCTGTTACATATAAACAAAATATTTCTGTACGATATTTAAAACCGCCTACACCACCACCAGCGGGACCACTTATTATTCGTAAATAAAAAAAAAAAGGATTTTTCTATATTTCTAAAAGTTGGTCTTTTTCATTGTTCTTTTTCTATTAGGTGAAATTCGTCCTCCACCACCTCCTCCACTATCACCAATTCAAGTACTAATTATCAATTCTATTTCGAATTCAAATTTCTTTTTTGTATTACTTTAGATTCGACAGCGTCCTCCACCACCTCCTTCACCATCACCAATAGTAATTATAACTATATTTCTTTTTTACATAAAAACTTATTTGTTATTTATCTTTAAAGATACTTCGAGAACGACCTCCTTCAATTCCACCACGACTTTCTGAAACAGTTATTGAAAAAGTATTACCTCCTCCACCGCGACCACCACGTCGTGTTGTTGTCGAACGCTTTGGACCATGTCCACCTAAACCATCGGATGTTATTATTGAACGTTGGTTACCTTATAAACAAAGTAATCAACGACCTATTTTTATTGAACGAGCACCACCACCTTGCATGTATATATTTTATTTCTAATCGATTGTCTATTTATACATTTTTTTCTTCTTCTTCTTAGGCAACCACAAGAACCAAATCTACTTGTTTTACATGATTCTCCTTCTGCATGTATTCGTAAAGAATTTATAAATGACGGAATTGTTCGAGCTGATCCTTATTCTTATATTCAACGATATGGTGCTGAGCTTAATGCATCGTACACAAATCCACGATTTTCATATCTAGTTAATGAAGCAACTCGCGCTGTTCCACCACCACCAGTCACATCTATTGATCATCGTTATCAATATGATGGCTACGATCGCTATTATGATAAATATCAACGTGTTCCATCTCCTCACATAATCAATACATGGGAAAGAACGAGATATGAACCCTCAATTACTCGTTCTTCATCTTATCGTTATGATTACTCAGACTATGATGATTCACCTTATAAATATTGCACACAATCCTCACGTAGATACGGACCTGATCCTTGTCGTTATTATGATGATTATTGTGAACGTCGAGGAAGTTATGTAACAATGACAGATGTAACACCTTCATGGAATCGTTATTGTAATTCATCACCTTATGATCCATGCTTATCATCTTATGATCGATATGCATCATGCTATGATCCATGTCGACCATCTTATTATCGTTCTTCATTATGTTATGATCCTTGCTCATCATATTGTCCTCCTAAAACAATTCGTGTTTGTTCTGATAATGAACTTCGTGATGTTCTATGCAATCTAACCAATGGTCGTGTACCACCTGAACTTCGTTCATATTAAAATCAAACAATAAACAAAAATAAAAAATTTATTGTTCTTTCTCTATATATGTCAGTCTCTCTAGAGTAGAAATAAAAATATTCTTTTTCTCTTTTTCATATAGGTTTTTTAATTTCGATATTGTCTAAGAGTTTTTCCTTCACCTGTAAATGGTTGAAATGTATTAGATGGATTTTTTTCTAATACATCATTTATATCATTATTTATAGAACATAATGGTATACGTGGAAATTGTAATAAACCATATTTATAATCATAATTAGGTATTCCACGTTTTTGTAAAATTTCTTTATTATTTTGTTGTTCTTTATCATCTGATTTTACTTTACCATTTAAACGAATTCCTTGACCAGAAAATGGCATAAATATTGATGAATTTTTATAATATTGTTCATTATTTATAGATGTTGATATTGATTTTTCATCAATAGAATCAATTGATGGTGCAAAATCAACTTCAATATCACATTCAATTATTGATACAGCATTTGAAGGTTTTAATTCCAATATAGATAATTCATAATTACGATTAAGATAATTTATTGATATAAGATCACCTTTTGTTAAACAACTAAAATTTCTTAAAACATGTTCTAAAACAGCTCTTGGATTACTTATATCAAGAAAATCTTTTGATTGAGGTTGAAAACGTACAAATGTTCCAACTGGTAATGAATGAACAGATTCAATATGTATTTCATCACCTTCATTTAATGATAAATAATTCATCATCCAATATGGTAAATAACAATGAGGTTCATCATCTGCTAAAAATTCTAAAACACCACAATGAGTTGAACGATTATGTTTAGAATTTGTTAATTTAAACAACATAATATTCGTCTAGAAAAAAAAAAGAAAAAATTAATAAAATCTGTCATTTAAATAATCAATAAAAACAAAACATTGATTTTTCTTTTTTTGCGCATCCGTATAAAATAGATTTGAGAAAATTTTCATTTCATTAATATTGACATCTACCAAAGCCCATCGACTTGGTCCTAGATGTAAATCTGAACAGGTTCGAGTCTGAAAGTTTTTGACTCGATAAGGTCTAACCGCCTGAGAAATATGTAGAGTGCGCTAGTTATCGAATACACAAAAGAAAATTGGGAAAAAGTATGTTATATCTTTGGAACGCCTATCCTATACCGATTAGAAAATTTTATTGAAATTATCAGAAAATGGTTCGATTGGATACGAAAATTCTTCTTTAAAACTATTTTTTTTTTGTTATGTATCATTTGATGAAGTTTAGCGTATTGATTTGGAATTTATTATTTTCATTGATTAAATATTCTTTTTTAAGCCAGAAAATGAATTCGAAAAAAAAAGCACGGACGAATATCATGCCTCTAAGTAACTTTTTTCGATATCTGTACCATATAGCAGATGAATACTTGCTCTACGTTAAGGTTTATGGCGGTTGGCTTTGTTTTATTAAGTATGAGGATGATGCTTTTACAACGTTAATATTATCAAATCTTGTTTCGTCAAATCAATATTTAAATTTCGGCTTTTTTTTTTGTTCGACAAGATCTTTCGATTTCATCGGATGTATATCATTAAGTGACTAATAAGAAAAGTTATTTTATTTACTTGTTCGGCTAATTGTTCAAGTGCTGTTTGTGGAAGTAAAATTTTACCACCATATTCGACATTTCTTCGATCACGATCAGTTAAAAATGCAGATGAATAACTTTGATATACCGCTTGAAAATGATCATCATTGTTATTATGAATATAATCTGAATAATCACTGTAATCAGAAGACATAAATTATCTAGAAATTAAAGAAAATCTATCTAATGTTTCTCATAAGCTCATAAAACAATATCCGAGTATTCATTTTGCAAATACTATACAGCCAATATCTGATAACATTAAAGATAATGTTCTTCCCTATCAAAAAGTATTTCATATTCTGATGTTTTCGATGTGAAAAAAAAGGGAACATTTACTAAACGAACATCGAAAATTTCGTTTTAACATACGAACTTTCTTGTAAAGTAGATTTTGTTCTCTGATATTGACTGCAAGAATTGATGTCTTTTATATGTTGCAGTAACTTCTTATCAAAGGCTATGGACACTCAAAGAAAGTCAGAATTGAATTTGATTTCGAAGAGAACAAAGTCTAGTACTCAAAAACAATTGATAAACAGGCTAATAAAATATTCAGCAATACACTGTTTCATAGTCATTTCTGACGTTCGGAATAATCCTCTTAAATCTTTGAAATTAATCTAGAATATTCGATAGAACAAAATTAAAATAATTTAGTAATAAGAATATTCATTCGATGATTCATTCGTCTAGAAATTTTTATAAAATAAAAAAAAACATAAAATTCTTAAATTTCATATTGATAATTTATAATTTTTACTTTCTTTTTTCGATAATAAAATTCTTTTATCTATTTAAAATCTGTCTAAGAGGAAAAAAACAACATGATCTATCATAGGATCTTGCTAAAAGTCCAAAAAATTTCCAGTACTATAGATGTCGCTCTAATAATACTTTCTATCAAAAATTAATCATCGATCAAATGGAAAAAAAATGTTCTTTTTTCATAAAAAAAAAAAAGCAAGTTCTTAAAATTTTTCTGACAACAAAAAATTGAATTCACCAATGAAATTCTATTTGAATAAATCCTCGGTAATGAACGAAAATTCTGTCTCATCAATACATGTAACAGAGGGAGCTAGTCATTATTTTTTTTATTCTAAATAGTAATATAAAATATTGTGTCCAAGAGGAGACCGTTGTGGCTGCTTTGATTGGTTTCCTTGGATATATATATATATATATAGAATTAAATATTGGAAATAAAAAAAAAAAAAAGAGAACAGAATTCTTTTTTTTTTTTTTCAGATGCAAAAAAATCATCAACATCTTGTTCGGCCATGTGCCGTTCTTGTTGAACGTTTAAATGATACATTTATACCATCGAAACGTTATAAAGTCGATGCTGATATTATTTATCGTCCATTAAATGATCAAATATCAAATTCACATGATGAATTATCTGTTGATGTATTAATGTTACCAAATAATAAAGTTAAAATATCATCATCATCAACATTTGATGATTTATCAATAAATACAACAAATCAAATAATACAAACAACAACAACAATAATAAATAATGATGATATTAAACCAATTGTACGTATACGTCCACATCAATCATCAATTGATTCAATTGATTATGATATATCACCTAATAAACGTTTAAATACACAAATAACAACATCACGTTCATCAACAAAATATGATAATGATTCATATTTATTTAATGGTACATTTGATTCTGATGATGAACTTGGAATGGATTTAAATGATGATGAATTAGAATCAATACATCGTGTTTTAGATTTTGATGATGATGATATGTCGAATTTTGATGATGATAATCAAAATTTAACATCAACAACAGGACCTGGTTATCATCCAGCACAATTACCTGATTTAGTTATGGGTTCATTACGAGCTGATAATGATGTTAAATTTGAACCATCATTTCAATATAGTGATTTATTTAATCGTAAAGGACGTACATTTGTATGTGATGAACGTGGTAATCGTGTTGTTTCAGTTAAACTTGATAAAAATTCAGCTAAACATTTAATTGATGCTATTGAAAGAAATTCAGGACGATTAATTTTAGAAGAATGTCGTCGAGGAGATTTACAAGCACATATATTAAAAGTAAAGTGAAAAATAATAAATTTTAATTTAATAAAATAATTATTCTTGTTATTTATTTTCTTTTTCTTATGAAAGGTTGTTTTTAAAGATGAACAAGAATTTTTTGATTTTAATCGTTCAGCTATTGTATCAAAACATTCATTTAAACAATGTCCAGAAATGTATACAAGATTTCTTGAAAGTTTATTTGAAGCACAAACATATCCAAATGATAATGAAAATGATCCACTTGGAACTGATGTAAGTTTATAAGAGACTAGTGTAGACAAAATTTAGTTTTCTTTACTTTCGCATTATTTGTTGAGTTTTATTCAGTAATCGAATTTTTGAATCTTGGCGCATGTTGAGAAACTCAAGTAGATTGACTTCCACAGAAAAAAAAAGGTTTTCTTTATGGACAAAGCTTCAGATCGAAGAAAGATGTTCAAGTATGACTTGTCTATCGAAGTAATATTTTGCTTGTAAGCAGGCTTATGAAATTAACATTTGATTAATTGGTTTTTTTCATCAATACCTTGTCAAATGTACGAAATGCAGTGCACGAAGACAAACCCTTATAAGTTTCTACTAGTCTCATCGAGAATTACTTATATGCAAAATATGAGTTTAGTTGTCGAGTTACAATTAGGCATCTTCCCTCATCAGTGAAATCTCAATAGGAACTCCAATCTTTTTAGAGTATTTATTAGCACACAGTATGTAGTATTTATAGGCAAAAAAAAATCATTAAAACCGGAAGAGAACATCTGAAGAGGTTCTCTCGTTAGTTGAAATAAAAAACGGAAATTGAACAGTTAAGTGATAAAGAAAACTTGTCAAACCAACGTTAACACTAAAAATTTTTAGCTTTATGGAATACTCTGAGTTGTATTTATGTAAACGAGATCGATTAAAAACCTGTTTCGAAAGCTCATACAAGCATCAATCAATTGCATGCATTTTCAAAAAATGAACTAACTATTTCAAATTGAGTTAAAGAATAAAACTCTTATACAAAATTTTTTTAATGCTGGTCAATAGTCTTCTATAGAGAGCTGTGGATCTACATTTGCTTGGAGCGCATGATTAGATTTGCAAACGGGAGATAGATAGGAATAACTCGAGAAAAAACTGTAGGACAAAATTAGTATACGGATATTGAAATCAGACCTATTCGAGAATGTCTGGAATCAAGAGTTAAGGAAAAGGATATGAATGTGAGTCATATTGCAGGAGGGGAGTGGAACAGTGCAAGATAAAATTAATAATAGCTATCACTCATATTGAAGAATCCAAAAGAAACAAGAAAATAATTTCAGAAAATATTCGGGAAAGAAGTGTCAACACTGTTATTAGATAGACACATTTCAATAAGATCGTATATCATAATCAGTCAACGATAAATAGAGAAACCGGTATCAGAGTTTGATAAGTATATTAGTAAGTGACAGTTTGAAATAACTATACAGAGAGAGATAATAGTAAGAAAAAAATCTGGGCTAGTGTGTTTGTTTGATTGAAAGTAGGGATGCAACAAATCCTTATTTTTTGTACAAAGATTGAATTTTTTCTGAATGAAAACCCACCAAATCTTCGTGTCAATTATAATCAGTTTTAATCGCTCTTTCTAATACTGGTATTTATTTACCAAATCTTGCGTAAGATTTGGCAGGATTTGGTGAAAATGGCGATATATTTAACAAATCTCAACAAATTCTACGCAAGATTTGGTAGAGCTTTGGTAAATAAATACCAGTATCAGAAAGAGTGATTAAAACTGATCATAATTGACACGAAGATTTGGTGGGTTTTCATTCAGAAAAATTTCAATCTTTGTACAAAAATGTACAAAAAATAAGGATTTGTTGCACCCCTAATTGAAAGAGTTTGCATGTGAGCTCAACGCAGATCACCACCGTGTCAATTCTGCTGAGAGAGAAGTCAATGTTGTGCGATCGAACATACGGGTTTGACACCATGTCATTTGGTTTTTCGTTTTTAAAAACAAGCAACGATGTAAAAATGATGTTATAGCTGAATTTTGAACGGATCAACTTCAAACAGAGAATTGTGGAAACAAATAATATGTCAGCACTAGCAAATGTAATGATTTTTGATAGAAGTCTCAGCAGGAATAGAATAACTCTTTATCAGGCTTGTTTTTATTATCAATCACTTTGTTTACATAGGGAATATATGCTAATATACGCCAATACAATGGAGACAGAAATGATGATACAGATCTACAACAGTCTTTAAGAAATAAGAATTGATCACTCTTCACCATACAGCCCAATGAATAATTTTTATAGAGCATTAGGACATCAATTTTTGTACATGAAAATCTCATTTTTGTTTCTTGAACCTATTTTTAGTCTGAAAAAAAACCAAGGCTTTTGAGGAAATTCATATGAATCTAGGAATATTTATGTTAACTATGATGACATCGAACATATGGGAGAATATTCTAGTACAGTGCCAACTCAGAATGTCAAAGAGATGTCTATTTTACTCGTACAGTTGTCCAAAAACTCACTAGGAAAAAATAGGAAAATTATAGTGAACTGAGATTTTCATCATTCAAAAGAAAAAGACTTAAGTTCATCGAAATTTGATTGGTTGGCGATTGATAAACAGGTGAGTTCTAACACTACATTTGAAGAACTATTTTCCTGGTGATCTACACTACGTAGATATTTCTAGTTTGTTTTCTTTGAGATTCATTAGGCTTTTTTCTAAAACTTCAATTTCAACCTATTGAGTTGTAATCACCAGGAAAAGCATTTAGACAGGGTAATACACCAACAGTGAGTTGAATGATAAGATTTGTTATTAGATTCGAAATGATGCAACACTTATTTCAATATTTTTGACATTTCACTAGCAGTCTTCATATAACAAAGGAGTCGACATTTCAGAAATATTGTCAGAGCATTTCAAATTTAAAAACATTTATCACCATTCAACTCAGCATGGTGAATTACCACCGGCCTAGATGCTTTTTCTCATTGATCACAGGTCAAATGGCTCCCATCGAAGGTCTTATAACTCTTGAACTGAATAATCCTGAAATGTCGTCCTTGCGTA